GTGGTGGCTGTGTGAGGGAGGTAAACAGCCCATTAATGAAGTTTACAGATGGAGTTTAATTGGGAGGGGTTCCCAGTGCTGCTCAGGAAGAGAAAATACACAAAGAGGCAGAGACGAACAATGTGGCCAGGAAACAGCGCAAGGTTCAGCAAGGAAGGAATAGAGCTTCCTTCAGCCGGCAGGGAGGGGAGAGGACAGAGGAAAGTGGATAAAAAATACCAGAAGCCCTGGAGAGGGAGAGAAGGCAAGAGCTAAAAGTATCTTGGGGGGAAAAAGCCCACCACAAAGGAGCCCAAAGCCCCAAGGTAAAGGCCGGGTGTGGGCAGCAGCAGGGATGTGGTGAAACATCTCTATAGTCTTGAGTGTGTGACACGGTTGCCAAGTGGAAATAAAAGCAGGTAATAACCTACTGTGTGTGCATGTTATAGCAGAAATTGTATCTGTAATTGCTTAACAGTGTTGACAAAAGTAATTACAGCACTCTTCTGGATAATTCAATAAAGTTGACTTAAAAGTGCCTTGGAAATTACATACAATGTACACGTCATACAGGTCTGGGGTGCTACTCCTTGCTTGGCCTTCTGAGAATATTACACAAGTTTCTGTGGCTGATTTCGTGTCAATAAACAAACTTAGGACGTGCTTTTCTTCCTGTTCATGCGGGGAAGAGTGGTTTCGTATTTGTTCTTTGCATCCACTGTGTCAGGGGCCAGTTAAAGTGAAGAGAAATTGTGTTCTGAAGGGTGGTAAAAGTGATTGTAAGAGTTTGGGAAATGCTTTTTGAACAGGTTCACTCAGTTTTAAGCTCTGTCGTGTAGACACACAGATCTGAAAGGTAAAATGCACCAAGAACTAAATGTGAAACAGGAAAGAAAAGCTTTTTGTAGGGTTTGGGGGGAGACCTCGGCCTGTCCCTCAGGGCCCTCAGCCGTCACCGTGCTCGTCCGTCAGCAGCTCTCTGATTTTTAAGTCACCAGGAATTTTGAATTTGCTCCTTGTCCTTCCTGCAAGAATTCCTGTTCCCTCTGTAAGATGGCAAAAAAGAATCTCTACCCTTTCAAGTGACGTTAGTGCTCATGACTAAATGGGGAGCACAATCCACATGAGCTGGCCCGGGCCCGGGCCCGTGGCGCTGGCAGCGGCTTGCCGTCGTCATCCTTGTGACTAAGATCTCAAAATCATCACAAGTATTTTTGTCTTCCGGCAAAGTACCCAGGATATGATGTTTTCATTGGGTTTTGTTTGTTTTTCATGCTCTTGGAAGCCGTCACAAAAGCTGATTCCGTCCTGGCGGGTTTATTGTAGCAAAGCCCAGTCTCCCTTGCCGCTGCACCAGGAATTTTGAATTTGCTCCTTGTCCTTCCTGCAAGAATTCCTGTTCCCTCTGTAAGACGGTAAAAAAGAATCTCTACCCTTTCAAGTGACGTTAGTGCTCATGACTAAATGGGGAGCACAATCCACATGAGCTGGCGCAGCACCTCGGCCCGGGCCCGTGGCGCTGGCAGCGGCTTGCCGTCGTCATCCTTGTGACTAAGATCTCAAAATCATCACAAGTATTTTTGTCTTCCGGCAAAGTACCCAGGATATGATGTTTTCATTGGGTTTTGTTTGTTTTTCATGCTCTTGGAAGCCGTCACAAAAGCTGATTCCGTCCTGGCGGGTTTATTGTAGCAAAGCCCAGTCTCCCTTGCCGCTGCTCTTCTCATTAGAGCCAGCTCAAGCTCCTCCTCGGCTGTTTCTTTAGCTGATGGTGAAAATAAGTGGATGTAACAATGAATTTCCCTCTCAGGGGATCAAAACGTACTGAATACATACCTGAAATTAGCGTGGAAACACACTGAGTTTAGTAAACAGTTTGAAAACAGCGGGAATAAGCGTTCAGTACAAATTGCTGTTGGTAAATGCAGATTGTCTGTGTGACGAGTTCATTTCATGTCACATCCATGTGGAAACAAACCACTACAGGTTATGGGCATCACTTCTGCCAAGCAGAAGGGTGTCCTCAGTACTGGAGCAGTAACTTCTGGGGGTTAAATATTTTCATTTTCAGTTGTAGGTTGAGCACTGGCTGAAGCAAATGACCAGGGTGCCCATTGCCCAGCCAAAATTTCAGCAGTGTACTTCTGTTAAAAATACAGTTCTCATTTGCCAGTTAATTTCTTTTGGGGGGAAATGTTTGCTTGCCTTCCTGCAGTTATTGGGAATATAACAGACACGTTTTAAACCACAAGGTGGATTTTGATTTTTCAGTGGTTTCTGCTAAAAGCAAGCGTCATTTAAGGAGAGTGTTTTTCCTGCTTACATGCCTTGTTTAAACTCTGTTTTGGCTGCTTTCTTTTTGGTCCACTGGTGTTTTTTGAGCTTCTGGACTCCTGTTCAAAGTTTAAAGAACAATAACCAGTCAAATGTAAAATAATGTCAATTGAACCAACCGATGACTCAACAGTCAACCAAGTCATCCTGGCCCTGCACCAAATGGACCAAGGCCAAAACCTAAAGTTGGCACGGGTCCCCATCCCTCTTCTCCATAGATTTGCACTGAAGCAGAGCCCAGAGTGCAACACGTTGGTTAATATTCCATAATGAAGTGCTGCACGTGCGAGTGTGTGCCTGCCATGGGGAGAGCCCGTGCCGGGGGAGGACCTGGAGTCTGCAGGGCTCCCTCCAGAGGGACAGGAGCAGGGAAACGGGGAACGGGGGCTTGTGCTCCCAGGAATTCAGCAGCCTCACTGGCTTCAGGATCACTTCCCTTCTGAACTGAGCTTCCTCGAAGGGCTGGAGAAGGAATGAAGGAAAAGCATTCCTTTCTGCTTCTCTTGCCCTCTCTTCATCTTTCCCTTCTCTTCTTCTTCCTGCTCAGAGTTAAGGTGCTATTTCTGCTCTGTATTTGTGTTTGAGTTGCATTACTTTTAGTTTCTTTCTTTATATTTCTCCCTATATTTGTTGTTGTAAAGCAGGAATTGGCTCTGCAGTGCAGCTAAAAGCATGAGCTGGTGAATCAGTCTGTGTGTACACATTGATACAACTCCAGGTCCAGACCACTGCTGAATGTTCCACTGGCAGCAGGAGAGTCTTGATTTTATTGTGTTTTTTCAGAATAGAAGAAATGAACTTCCTAATTACAGCTCTAAATTTATTTATGTCTTGATGGTTATTTGACTGTGGAAGGACTATACTGCAGCTCTGAGGCTTTTCAGCCTGCAAAAGAGAAGGCTCCAATGGACCTTGAAACCCCTTCCAGTGCCTAAAGGGGCTCCAAGAGAGCTGGAGAGGGACTTTGGACAAGGGGGAATGGCTTCCCACTGCCAGGGAGCAGGGCTAGGTGGGATATTGAGGGTGGGGAGACCCTGGCAGAGGTACCCAGAGCAGCACTGGCTGCCCCTGGATCCCTGGCAGTGCCCAAGGCCAGGCTGGACAGGGCTTGGAGCAGCCTGGGACAGTGGGAGGTGTCCCTGCCATGGCAGGGGATCTTTAAGATCCTTTCCAATCCAGACCATTCTGGGATTCTATGATTCTACTGCAGTTTTCTTTAATCTTTTCCTGCCTTTCTTTCTGTATCATTAATATTTTTCCATGTACGTTAGAATCAGCTTTCCAGATGTCTCTCTCCTTTCCTAGCAGCATCATTTTGGCAGCCTGCACACAGTCCTGTGATTGACACGAGCACTGGACACGGCTCATGCTGAGGTCATTAATGGAACAAGTCCTGTTTAATATTTTAAGTTCAGTTCCTCTGGTACAACATTAATGTGTGCTGGAATAAGGGGTCAGATCCGATCTATGCTGACTGTGGAGGAAGAGCCAGAATGCTGTGGCTGCTCTGAGCTCATGAATCTCTTGTGATCACTGCAGAATGTCTCAGTGCAGTTCTGCTGCTGTTGAATTCCAAGTGCTGGCCCATGGAACTGGTGTTTTAAAGGGTCAGTGTTAACACAATACATTTTTGGGCAGTTAACTTTGGCTTTTGGTTAGTTTGCAAGGTTCAGAAAACTAAAAACCTGCTTCCAAGAAAGGTAAAGCAGCTCTGAGGCTGCTGAGATCTAAAACAGAGCCCCAAAATCCACAGAAGTTGGAAAAGACTTCTAATGTTATTGAGTCCAGGCTGTGCCTGATCCCCACCCTGTCCCCAGAGCCCCGAGTGCCACCTCCAGCCCTTCCTGGGACACTCCAGGGATGGGGATCCAAACCTCCCTGGGCAGTTCCAGTGCCTGAGCACCCTTTCCATGGGGAAATTCCTGCTGTGCCCACCCTGAGCCTGCCCTGGCCCAGCCTGAGGCCGTTCCCTCTGCTCCTGTCCCTGTTCCCTGGAGCACAGCCCGACCCCCCGGCTGTCCCCTCCTGGCAGGAGCTGTGCAGAGCCACAAGGGCCCCCTGAGCCTCCTGTGCTCCAGGCTGACACATTTCTTGGGATGCACTGAAAATTCAAAAAAAAAAAAAATCTAATTCTACTCAGACTTTTGCACTCTGTTGTAGAGTGTGTTATTTTGCAGCTGTCCCGGTCCTGGCTCACCTCAGTGTGTGAGCACAGAGCGTGTCCCTGTGCCTGCAGGTTGGAGATGATCCACAGGCTGTAAAGACAGGTAGATCAAATGGCTGTTTTGTCATCCAGCAAAGCATAAACAATTGGTATGGCCCAGGATAATTTGATTTAATATTTTTATGTAAAGTTTGTATTTAAGTAAAGAGGTACTGGCTTCTGTCTGTGTCTCTTTTTTTGCTGCCTCTTTATTTAGGGAAGGAAGGGTGAACAATGAAATTTAAAAAGCAGCACAAAGCTTTGGAAAAGTATGCCTAAATTGATTCATATAGAAATGAATTCTACCCTTGAAGGTAAGACTTTTTGGCTGCTTTACTGGAGCACTGTAATAAATATAAAAGTTTAGAACATATAATTTAATTATCATATTCTGGCCATAAATGCTTTAGGTCTGTAGTACATTTGAAATCCCAAGAGCTCTGGCTGAGGTTGCAGCTGCAACATCAATTACCATTTATCCATTCCAAGAAAGCTTTGCCCTTGAAACCTTGACGTTCTGGAGAGGCTCCAGCGGGAGCGCGGCCGCTCCGGCGGCGCTCCCGGCGATGCCAAGATGGGAGCGGGCGCCATTTCACAGCAGGGCCAGGGCTGGCCTCGGGGCCGGTGCCTCTGGAGCCGCCAGCCCCTCCTGGGTGCCTCCAGAGAGCTGGGGGTCCCCTGGGCAGGGTGCTCCTCGGGGTTTGGGGCTGCCACGGCGCCTTTGCTCCGTGTTGTTGGCAATGTGCGCGTTCCCGCTCTGCTTCCGCGCTGTTGGCATCTGCCAGCAGGGTCTGACTGCTCAAACCCCAAATCCTGCCGCCAGCTTCAGCTGTGTGAAGGGATGGTAAAGGTGTGTTCTGCAGGTGGGGGATGATCCCGAGACTGTGCTGCTTGAGGGGTCGCTCGTATTTTAAATGTTCTGTTAGAGCCGTGGCGGTCCCCTAGACTGGCAGGGTCGGGAGGAGGGACAGCTCCTGCCCCTCTCGCTGCACACCGGGAGTTGCTCTGCTGGAGTTCCTGGCTCTGGCAGTGAAGGGAATTCGGCCTGGCCTTGGCAGTGACACATCCCTGGCGGTGCCATTATCTTGGCCGTGTCACAGACACGCTGCACGAAACGAGACCGTTAGTTCAGAATCTGATTTCCTGGCTTATCGGGGGTTTTTAATACAGTGTTTATCTGGGTGTGCGATAAAGGAAACCGTGTTAATCGTCCTGGTTCTCAGAGCAGCTGGAAACCAGAAATGCTGGGGGCTTTTATTCACAGGCTTTGGTTAAATACTCCAGAGGAGATTTTTCATTTGTTACGGCGTCGTTGAGGACATGCTTGTTGTCAAGACCTGCACTCCTACCAAAACCATCCAGGCCTCCATTTTAAACAGAAAATAGGAAAGAGAGCTGAAGAATGGGTGGGTGTGTAAGGAAGTTTTGTGGAGGGAGGGTTTGTGGCTTTATGAGCAGTCAGCACCCCAGGACACCTTGGCTTGGGGTCTGTCACCATGGCAGTTTGTGCCTCTGCTCTGTGGCACCCAGCCAGCCAGGGCTGGCCCTGTGTCTACAGAGTTCAGGCAGCCTGGGAGGAAAACCTGGGCTCTTACCAATTTTCAGTCTCTTCAGAATGAAGTGAAAACATTTCAAGAGACAGAAGAAGCCAACGGTTCAGGTTCTCAGCAAAATGCCTTTCTGGAATTATTTCCAATTGGCAAACACACTTCTATTTTAATAGTCATGACAAGTCTAGTGTCAACAGCCTTGGATTGAAATTTCTTCCTGCTTGAACTCAAAACTACTTCCCTGCCTAAGAGAATATTAAAATAATTAATAGTTTCACTAGTTAATGAAGAAATAAATAAACAATTCAAAAAATGTAATCAGGCAGTGTCCACAGCCTAGTGTTTACATTGTTCTCATTGCTGGAAGATAAGGAGGAGGCCCAGATGGCAATGACATTGAAAATGGTTTCTTTGCTCTTAGTTTGGTGATACCACTTACACCAGTAAGTAACGTGCTTTAAGGAATCCATTCCCAGTGGTTGGTTCAGCTGAGCTGCAGAGCCAGGATGTGTGGTGGGCCACGTTTTGGTGTCTGGGGACGTCCTGTTGGGACAGAGTGATCCAGGCTGAGCAGCCCTTTCAGGCACTGGTGGAGAGGGGTGCAGGCTGTAGGCTGGAAATGGTCAGTAATTTTGGTTCCTGGAAGGGTTCCCCTTGCCATTGTTTTTCATAGGGTCAGACAATCATGGAATGGTTTGGGTTGGGAGGGACCTTGAGGATCATCCAGTGCCACCCCTGCCATGGCAGGGACCCTTCCACTGTCCCAGGGACCCTTCCCCTGTCCCAGGGACCCTTCCACTGTCCCAAGGACACCTTGCCCTGTCCTAGGGACACCTTCCCCTGTCCCAGAGACCCTTTCAGTGTCCTAGGGACACCTTCCACTGTCCCAGGGACCCTTCCCCTGTCCCAGGGACACCTTCCCCTGTCCCAGGGACCCTTCCCCTGTCCCAGGGACACCTTCCCCTGTCCCAGGGACCCTTCCCCTGTCCCAGGTGCTCCCAGCCCCAGTGTCCAGCCCGGCCTTGGGCACTGCCAGGGATGCAGGGGCAGCCCCAGCTGCTCTGGGTGCCTGTGCCAGGGTTCCACCCTCAGAGGGAGAATTTCTTCCCAATGTCTAATCTAAACCTCCTCTTGAAAGTCCCAATACTTTTGTGATTTTCATTTAGTGATGCAAAGGAGCAGGAGGGCGGTGTGGTTTTTAATTACATTACAGTGCCGGTGGGCTCAGCACGTGGGGCTGTGCCCGTGCTGTGCCTCGGGGATTTCTGTTCTTCTCAGCAGAGAGAAGAGGGAGCAGGCAGTGCTCTCCTCGGCAGTGCCCACTGCCCGGGGAGGGGGCATTTCTCCAGCCTGAATCCCTCCTGCCCTGCATCTGCTCCGTGTCCCTGGCTGGTGGCAGGGCCAGAGCCGCTGCTCCCTGTCCGTGTGTCCCTGTCTGCGTGTCTGTGTGTCCCTGTCCGTGTGTCCCTGTCCGTGTGTCCCTGTCCCTGTGTCCCTGTGTGTCCATGTGTCTGTGTCCCTGTCCGTGTCTGTGTGTCCATGTCCCTGTGTCCCTGTCTGTGTGTCTGTGTGTCCCTGTCCGTGTGTCTGTGTCTGTCTGTCCCTGTCCGTGTGTCCCTGTCCGTGTGTCTGTGTGTCCCTGTCCGTGTGTCCCTGTCTGCGTGTCTGTGTGTCCCTGTCCGTGTGTCTGTGTGTCCCTGTCCCTGAGTCCCTGTGTGTCCATGTGTCTGTGTCCCTGTCCGTGTCTGTGTGTCCATGTCCCTGTGTCCCTGTCCGTGTGTCTGTGTGTCCCTGTCCGTGTGTCCCTGTCCCTGTGTCCCTGTGTGTCCATGTGTCTGTGTCCCTGTCCGTGTCTGTGTGTCCCTGTCCGTGTGTCCCTGTTCGTGTCTGTGTGTCCATGTCCCTGTGTCCCTGTCCGTGTGTCTGTGTCTGTCTGTCCGTGTCCGTGTGTCCCTGTCCCTATCCATGTGTCCGTGTGTCTGTGTCCATGTGTCCTGTTCCTGTGTCCCTGTCTGTGTGTCCGTGTCCATGTATCTGTGTGTCCGTGTGTCCCTGCCCATGGGTCCCTGTCTGTGTGTCCCTGTGTGTCCGTGTCCATGTATCTGTGTGTCCGTGTGTCCCTGTCCATGTGTCCGTGTCTGTGTGTCCTGTCCCTGTGTCCCTCTCTGTGTGTCCCTGTCCATGTGTCTGTGTCCGTGTCTGTGTGTCTGTGTGTCCTGTCCATGTGTCCCTGTCTGTGTCCCTGTGTCCTGTCCGTGTGTCCCTGTCCATGTCTGTGTGTCTGTGTCTGTGTCTGTCTGTCCGTGTCCGTGTGTCCCTGTCCGTCTGTCCCTGTCCCTATCCATGTCTCTGTGTGTCCCTGTCCATGTGTCCGTGTGTCTGTGTCCATGTGTCCTGTTCCTGTGTCCCTGTCTGTGTGTCCGTGTCCATGTATCTGTGTGTCCGTGTGTCCCTGCCCATGGGTCCCTGTCTGTGTGTCCCTGTGTGTCCGTGTCCATGTATCTGTGTGTCCGTGTGTCCCTGTCCATGTGTCCGTGTCTGTGTGTCCTGTCCCTGTGTCCCTCTCTGTGTGTCCCTGTCCATGTGTCTGTGTCCGTGTCTGTGTGTCTGTGTGTCCTGTCCATGTGTCCCTGTCTGTGTCCCTGTGTCCTGTCCGTGTGTCCCTGTCCATGTCTGTGTGTCTGTGTCTGTGTGTCCTGTCCCTGTGTCCCTGTCCGTGTGTCCCTGTCTGTGTCCGTGTGTCCTGTCCGTGTGTCCCTGTCCATGTCTGTGTGTCTGTGTCCGTGTCCGTGTGTCCTGCCCAGCAGGACCCCCCTCCCCAGAGCCGTGGCCACACCCGGCCGTGCTGCAGTGACCCTTGAGCCGGGGTTGAAGTCTCTGGTGAATGATTAACCCTGCAATGGCTTTAGTTAAACACTCGATTTCTGCAGAGCTCGTTACCGGGGCGGCATCTTCGTTAAGCCCTTCCATTTTCCCGCTTCATTAAAATCTCCCATTTCACCCCCTTCATTACAGTTTCCCATTTTGCCCCCATGTGTTCCCTTGACTGGAGATGATAAACACATCTCTACAAATGAATAAAATCAGATTGTATATGAATAATTTCTGAAAAATACATGGGAATGTACTAAGTTTAGTACCCCATACCTTGCCTCCCAAAATGAAATTTAATCAAAGTTTTTACAGATTTGGAACCCTGAAAATTGGGAGGTTTTTTCCTCTGCTGTCTATGCTGCTTGATTTTTTCTTTTTGTCTAGATGAGACTCATAGTTTATTAGGGTTTTGTTGAGTTGAAAGCAATTTCTGTAAATACTGAAAGGTATTCCATCATTATATTATCTCAGAGTGCAATTTCCCTGCCTTACCTCTTCCTTAGGAAGTGGTCATTTGCCTTTTACTGTGTATAGCTGTGCAGGTGAGAGATTCACGTGGAATGTCAGCCCGGTGGCTCCTGCAGGAGCCGTGCTGCCCTGCACTCCCTCCTGGTGTGTTCCACAAGCGGGGCTGGCTGGCAGCTCTCCACACGGTTAGTAAATATTGCCCTTATCTGATACAGCCAGGCTGGGAAGATATGCCTGCAGCCCGGATTAGATTGCTGGCTACTGCTGTATTAATCAATGTAATCATTTATTTTTAGTTTCAGAAGTCATATCATCTGTTTTCTTTCTCATATTACATTTTCTGTGGTGCTGGTACAGAAAATGAGCCCTGTTTAAAAATTAAAGGTGACTGAAAAGTTTCAGTGGAATATGTTTGGCACTGTCATGGTTTCCCTGACAGCTGATGAATGTTTCCTTAAAAATGCTTTTGTCAGAAATTTGAGAGGTATAAAGAGTTTTATTGAAATTAGCTGTCTTCAAAACTATACATAGAAAGATGTTTCCATCTTTTTAATAATTTTAATGAAGCGAAGTTCTCTAGTTATATATTCCTTATTTAAAGTCATAGCTCCTAGCCTGTACTTCAGTGTTTAATCTGAGATACTTAGTCTTAGAAAAGGAGCTATTTGGCTGAAACCTTTAGAGAAAATAAGGCATTTTAGAGTAGCCAGGCAGCGAGTGGTGCTTGTAGAAGGGATATTGCTTGGTTTTGAGGCAAGTGTTGGGTTTTTTATATGGGTTTTTTTGCATATGACAGTCTAAAGTAGAGAAAAAAAATTCTTTTTCCAAATGCATCAGTAAGCTGGGGAGAGAAGAAAAAAAACCCCAAAAAACAAAAGGATAAAGTAATATGAGCATCACATGAAAGGAAGCAAAGCTTTGAGGTCAGAATTACTTGTCTGATGATCAGACAGGGAAGCTGTGAGAGAGCAGAGAAGCAAGGGCAGCTCTCAAGCCTGAGGTTCTCCTGTTGTCTCTGGGCTCCTGGTGAGATCTCCGTGGAGCAGCAGAGCTGGCCAGAGCCAGCAGAGCAGGGATGGAGGTGAATCTCAGCATCCTCCCACTCAGTGTCAGCTCCTGCAGCCCCACAGCCGCGGGCTCAGCCCCTCCATCCTTCCAGAGCTGCTCCTGGAGCTCCGTGCCCTTGAGCAAGGCAGGCCTGCTGGGCAGGGCAGGAGCAGGGAATTATTCCATGAGCTGGAGTGAAAGATGTGTGTTCCTACAGACACGGAGTCGGTGGGGCTGGCTTGGATTGCTCAGCTCGGCTGCTGAGCCCGCGTTGTGCAACCAGAGGGGGTTATCAGAGCTCGCTGCTCCTCAGAAGAAGAGTAATGAATTGGAAAGGCCAGGAAAGCCGTGCCATGGCTGGTGAGCAGGGATGCAGCCCGTCAGTGAGCTCTGCTCCAGCTGACAGACACGTTGTGGGGGCTGGCAGCCTCGTGGCAGAGCCACGGAGGAGATCTCTTCAACATTCCACAGATGCTTCTGAACGCAGAGGAGCGATGTGACAGATTTGAGTTCTTTTCCAAGTTCTGGAAAGAAGCATTCTTCCCTTTGGGAAAAGAGGGGCCTTTTTCTTCCCTTTTTCCTCAAGTTTGACTCATTCTCCTCCATTCCTGCTGCCAGCCTTTCCTGCTGAGGGCTTTGCACCACCCTTGTTCTGGTCTTGCTCTGCTCTCCTCTTCCCACTGCTCTTGCAGCACGTTGAAGCTGTGGCTCTGTTCCTGTCTGGTGTTTTCTCTTCTGCTCAGCCCTCTCTGCTCTGAGGCACAGCTCAGCTTCTCCCCAGCTCAGACGCTGGTTTTAGGAGGTCTGCACATCCCTTAGGTCTTTGCCTGCCTGTGCTGTCTCATTTTTCCCCCTAACGCAACTAATTTTCACTTCTCTCTGCCTTCTGGTTCCATTTTTGTCAAAGTGAGAACTTCATTGACACATTTATTGTGGTTTGACTTTGATCCCTCTGTGTTTGAGTGGGAGGATCCTGCTCCTTGTGTTTTGATTGCCTCAATCCCTGCAGGAAAGGCCAAAGACAATGGCAAAGTCCTTTGGATCACTGGATGGGCCATTTCTCGGGTGCTCTCTGGGGATGGGACATATGGACCTGTGCAAAAGCAGAGCTCCCAGGTGTTGGAATGTCTTAATTTGGGATGGAATTTTAAGGTTTGCGTGAGCGTGTTGGAGCTGTGGGTTTTTCTAAATGTGTGACCAAATCTGGTCAGACTTCCTTGAGGAGGGGAAAAGGAATTTTCCATGCACAAGCCATCCCACATACAAATGCTAAGCCCACATCAGGGAACGTGGATGGTCTGGAGAGTTTCCAAGGAGAGGCACCAAAACCTTAAATAAAAGTGTCATTTTTCTAGCTTCATCTGGAGAGTGGCTGGAACCCTGGTGAACAGGATTTTCTGTGAAAATCAGTTTCGAGTCAAGCAGGCAGTATAGAAATCATGTTGTAGGAGTTTCAAACTTAGTTGGAAATCACAGAATAGCTGGGGTTGGGAGGGACCTCTGGAGATCATCCAGTCCAACCTCCTGCCAAGGCAGGGTCACCCTGAGCAGGGGACACAGGAACGTGTCCAGGTGGGTTTGGGATGTGGCCAGAGAGAGACACTCTGTGACCTCCTGGGCAGCTGTTCCAGTGCTTGCCACCCTCCATGGAAGGGGGTTCTTCCTGGTGTGGAGGTGGGTGAGCTCAACAGCTGGGCCTTTCCAGGGCTGTGGGGCAGTGCCTGGTTGGTCTGTAGGATCATGGCTGGTCTGTGAGTGCCATGCAGCTCTCTTCATACCAGAGAAGATAAACCACCATAAGACCTCCCTGAGCTCTGGGCCAGCACTGCTGGGTCAGCCCTGAGGATCAGGAGCAGCTCCAAGGTGATTAGGATGGATTGCTTGTTGTTCTAAGAGGGATTTGGTTTTTTTTCCTTAACAAACCAGACCTTCATTTGTAGCTGGGCTGGGTGTTTACATCCAGATCCTGAAATGAGGGATATTTCTCACTCTTCTCCTGAACTGCAGGGGTGAAACGATCACTTGTTACTGGGAATATTTGTTGCTATATGGCCCAATTTGCACAGCTTCTTGCATAACAGCATCCCAGTAGAGCAGGCAGTGGTGGTGCTGGGAAGGGAGCCCTTGTGCAGACTGCAGGGAATGTGGCAGTAATGGAAACAATATGGAGTAAGAGCGTGTTTAAAGAGTCAATTTTAAAGGCTGGGATAATTGTGCAAGAAACTTGGCTTCAGAAACGTGTAAGGGAAGGAATCTCGAAGCAGCCAAATAGGCCGTGAAGAATCCATACAGCTTTTCTGGGGTTTTACAGGAGTCCCTGTTTAACTGTTTCTGGTGCGCTCTGTGTGCAGAACTGCCCCCCCGAGGCTGGGGACGAGCTGTTCCTGGCAGCTACGAGCCCTCTATCCCAATTAAAGGTATTTTTCTGCTTTGTTTCAGCCCTGGAATGAGGTCAGATGTAAGCTCTTCTCCATCCACAACCTCAGCAACTACGGGACCACCTCCCAAGCTCTGCCTGGTGTGCTCCGACGAGGCCTCCGGGTGCCACTACGGCGTCCTGACGTGTGGCAGCTGCAAAGTGTTCTTCAAAAGGGCAGTGGAAGGTAGGACCTGCTTGGACTGGAGTTAGCTGCTTGTAGATACAGGATCCCCACGCACATCATCCGTTTTCAAACCCAGCATCCATGGTTTTGCCAGAATCCTACTGAACAGCCCATCCATTAGATCAGTGATCTTGTCATAGTAAATCACACTGATAATGGTGCATTATGCAAAGCATGGATTCCATTCACATTGATAAAATGCTCCCATTCACTCTGGGTAAAAGAATTTATTGTTGTTTTGGCTTTCGTCCCTTTCATTTTCTTTCACTGTTGTTTTTGTTTATTTGTCCCATTTTTATACAGATATTTGTCTGCGTGCAATAGATTTGTCAAGTTCGTGATTTTTCAATTTATGGTTAGTTGGTTTGTGTAGAAAACTTACATGGAACTTGATAGATCTGTTGTGTGTGAGGTTATTGTCATTTTCCTGTAAACAATGTTGGTTGAATTGCATCCATGTCCCTGGGTGTTACTTGCAGGGACACTGGGTACCAGGGACGTGTGTGGGATTGGATCACTGGGATTTCTGTCTAGCTGTGATTAGAGAAAACCATTCTGGAAAACAGAGATGATGGAAAACTAACATGAATAAGGACTGTGTGGTTTTTGGGTGCATCAGTAGCCATTTTGTGAGGTACTGGGTTGTACCTCAAGAGCTGACTGAGCTTCAGTATCACATGCAGAAAAACTGGAGCATATTCCCAGTGTTTCTGGGAAGATGGTGATTCCTCAGGTCTGAAGAACATTGTTCTTAGTTCTGGCCCTCAGGGTTTCCTGTCTTGTGCCTTCCTCGTGCAGCCCTCTCTGAACCAGGCTCTTTCTGCTGAGTTTTGTGCAAGCTGGGGTCACTGGAGGAGGGGGAGGCTCTTTGACAGAGACAAGCCACCATTCAGTCCTCAGAAGCAGGACTTTCCCCCAGTTCCTGGCTCACCGGGGGCCATGGGAGCTCCATGGAAGGGCAGAGCCCCTCGGAGGGATCAGCAAAGTCAGGTTCATGTCCTGGTTTCTGCTGGGCACAAAGGGGTGTTGGCTCTGTGGCAGCTGAAGTATAACAAGGCAGTATGAGCTCAAGTGCAAAGCAAATAATCATCTGTACCTTTGATTAAAACATGGTCACCAGAGATCCCTCAGGAGACGAATTATAAGGCAGCTGGACAGGTGCCATAGCCATGGGCTTGCCTGTTCTCAAGCTTAAATAAATCACAAATGTATTGATACAGGAAGGAATCACCCCAGTGATTCCTTTTGGGTTTGACACACCATAAATCAACTGTCTTGATGTTAAAAATGTCAGCGGGCTTGTGGCAATCAGTTCCTCGAGGCTCACCTCTGCTTCCGTTTTGACTGTGCCACAAATTGTCCCACTTCTCCCAGAATCCCAGAATCACTGAGGTTGGAAAACACCTCCCAGTTCATGAAGTTGAGCCTTTGATCGATCACCACCATGTCAGCTGGGCCCCAGCACCCTAAGCACCCTAAACCCTTCCATCCTAT